TTAAAATTAAACTTTTGGAACCAAAAGTAATTTGACTGCCACCAATATAAAGGTAGGCCAGCTTGCACTTCCATGCATTCTGATCTTGCTAATGCAAAACCTTACTTATCCAATCAAATACTCTTATACACAATGTCTTTCTTCTTTAACATTATCTTATACCCGTATTTATATACAACATTTTGACAGTTTGAAATTGGCATTAAAATAGTGTGTGTCATGGCCAGAATCCTACCATAGTTAAGTACATATACATAAAATAAAAGGACAAGGTTTGTAAATTATTATGAACGTGCACTTTATAACTATTACAACCCACTTAAAATAACAAATGTCATATCTTATCTTGGAATCTAAAAATTATTCTGTTCAACTTATATTCTAATTAGTAAAATCACAAAGGCACTGAGTGCATGGCCTTTTGTGAAAATGTCTGTATAATCAGCCAGTATGAAAACACCAAGTCTCTATTTAGTAACATAGTTACAATTTATACCCTTTCACTCTCATTGACATAAAATTTTGTAATAAAGCATCATCATGTGTATCGTATTCAATTTAACAGAAATTATTTACAAAAAGACAATTTTTTGTATATTTTAATTAAAATTTTTCCTAGAAAAAATCAAAATTATTTGAAATAATTTTTTCTTTGCAGGACTGCTTTATTAATTTAATTTGTGCAGCAAAACTTACATAATATTATTATCATTTCTAGAATGTGACACAATATTTTAATAACAAATATTTAGCTCAGTTTATCATAGCTGTTTGTTCAGGGTAGAACAATAAAATTCTGACTCAGGAGAGAAACAAAATGGTGCTGACTCAAGACGAAAGAACAAAAGGTGCTCGAGAACAATTTCTTTTGTCAACCAAATATGGATGTAATGCTATCTTCTGCTCCCTAATGAGTAACTTAATCTTAACAAAGAAAGTATGCCGGCACTAGGGATCTTAATTCAAGCAAGATGCTTAAACCGTTACCATGACAACCATATTTAAAATATCTAATGGTATTCATGACTTATGGCAGTAAAAGTCTGGAAAACATCATAATTAAACATGGATTAATTCCCCCCCCCCCCCCCTCCCCAAGACGCTTCCAAAATAAGACATCTTCATAAATGATTCACTAAATATTTAAAATAGGTCTATTATCGATGAACAAGAAATTTTATGTTCCAGAAAGTCCAATACAACAGGGCTAGACAATACCTTAGTTTCTTATCTTTTTCTTGCTTGGTTTTGACAATCATGATTTTTGTTTTATATAATTCCAAAATCTCAAAACCAGCCAAGAAAGCCAAGAAAGCCTAAGAAATCATAAGCAAATTAAGTCTGATGCAGACAACCAAAGTACTCTTTTACTAGTTACCATGGCAACCATTTCTATCAATGCATGTTTTAATTACTAATTCAGCAGCATGACAAAATAAGATCTATAATCAATCACCATCATGATACATCTGTCACATGATTGTTTTTTTTCCTTAAGACAAAATGCATGTTTTATGAGAAATGCATGAAAGCTTCATGCATTAGTAAATTCCTGAACCTGTATCCCTAGGCAACCGACATCTCCGACATAAACCCTCCCCTGACATTCGTTGCAATCACGATAATTTGGATTTCCGCTGGAATCGGAAAATACAAGAAGTTTTATTATGAGATTGAGAGAATACTCAGAATTAATAGGCTCTCTTACTTTATTTTATTTTTTACCTTCTTTAGTAATGGGTTTAGTACAGATGACATCAAAATGTTGTTGTTTTTTTTGTATTTCAATCACAACTAATTAAGCTCTGGAGTTTTGAAGAGGAGAGTTTTGAAGAAGAACAGAATTGTCATTGGTTTACCTGACAGAAATAGACATAAATCGGTGATAAATCACATTGTTAGGTGTTTCAGTGTGGGTGACTCATTTCTCTGCAAGTTTTAGTACCTAACTTGACTTAATCAATAGCTATATATATGACTAACTCTAGATCAGAGGCGAAAAGTTTTACCTGACCAGACTTGTTATGTATACATAAAGTACTACATTTTTTTGTTACATTTATAATATACATAATTATAATAAAAAGTAATAAGCGTTTACCTACATAATACTATATTGCAGCTTTATGTAACTTTTACATCCAACCCTTCCTGTTACATTCTGTTACTTCCCAGTGGGTATAGTAAACTTTTACTTAAGGAAACTTTAAAAAGAAATGAAATCTAAATGCAAAATACATGTATTTGTCTATCCATATTAATTTACAATATTGTTTACTTGGAAAATAAAAGATAGATAATACAAGATAAAAGTTTTAAATTATAACAAAAAAACAAAAAACACACACACAAAAAGTAAACAACTTACTCTGGTGGACATTCTCTTTAAAATTAGCGTTAGTTTTTTTGTTGTTTTTTTCGGTTTTTTTTTTCAGAAATCAAAGTTTTTTTTTGCTTTTTTTTTTTTTTTTTTTTTTTCAGAAATCGAAGTTGCTTGTGAGAGATGTTGCTATCTGTTGCTATTCCACAACGAAATAGAACAGATTGGCCACTAATAAATCGGATACTAAAACAAATAACAAAGAGCTTGAAATCTCATCAAACCACAGTCTCCAATCCATTTACAACCAATTGTTTTTATAAATGAATAATTAAATAACATGCTTTTTACAGTTCTGTTTTGTTTAAACTGTTTATAACGGAGGAAAAGCAGACCAGAAAATGTCATTGGATAATTCGAGGCTTTGAACGTTGCAGCACAATAACTGGCTATATCTAATTTTAACTTGCTGATTGAATATTAAGCCATTGGTCTTTGGTAAGACAACTAAGTGCAGCACACAGCACAAATAAGCCATTGGTCTTAGGTAAGACAACTAAATGCAGCATACAGCACAAATAAGCCATTGGTCTTAGGTAAGACAACTAAGTGCAGCACACGGCACAAAATAAGCCATGGGTTGGATATTAGCAACCTGAGAGTTGCACAAATATTGAGCTATTGGTTTGAAGGTTAGATAGAGACCTGAGTGTAGCCCACAGTTAATTATAAAGCCAAGTGTACCACGATTAAGCCATTGGTCTCAAAATAGAGACCTGTAGAGAGAAGAATGGATAAGCCATTGGTATAAGGTAACAGAGACCTATGTTCACTATAATAATTAGCTGATTGGTCTGTCATTAAGCCATTGGCCTGAAGGATGAGAACCAAGTGTTATAAAGCACAATTAACCTAATGTAAGTTTTGAGAAGTTTGAGCTAAAAGTTTCATGTCGGAAATACTCATTGTAAGATATATGTATATCTAAAATGGCTACCAGAAACCCATACATGCAACATTAACTAAGAAACATACAAGCAACATTAACTAAGGAAGACTGCCATCAATAATTTATATTAACTGGGCTTAAAAGACATCTTTATTTACCTACCTATAATCAACTTTTAATAAAATGTAAAACATTTTCCAAAAGTTTAATTAACATGTATATTATACTTATAGCCAATAGGTAAGTAAAAATGTTCAACAGGTAAGTAAAAATGTTGCTCAGCCCCTTTAAAATGAGCTTTTAAAATTTTGCATGCTCAAACTATATAGCAAGCATTTCACAGATTTGAAGCTGACATGAAAAAAACAAACAAAAAAAACAACATTTTTTTTTAATAAATAAGAAAAAACATAAACACTTTGATAAATTGATTGATTGATTGCATATATATAAATGTCCGGAACTGTTTTAATGAATATATCAAAGCCAACATGTCGTTGTTGTTTGCTTGAAGTGCGGATATATGTGGGAGGAGCGCATTTCCTTTTTTAAACTAAACATCAATATACTGGCACCTATTCCTCCACACCTTAATTACTTCTACACTCACTTACAAAACAAAGCACATTGCCATATTTGGGCGTAAATATGGAATATACAAGGTGACAGAATAGTCTTTCATGTTGTGCACAGTATTATCTCATCAATAATTTCGCTTTTCAATTTTCTTCTGAGATGAGAGACATTAAACCTAATTAAGAGGCACTTTACGGGCAGAATTCTGATTAGCTGCGACTTGATTGCAGTGATGCCATGAAAAGTTAATCTAATTTAAGTTCCCAGTCTAATCTAAATATTGAAAACAAAAGTGTGACAGCGAGCATAAAAATAATCAAATTGACAAGAGTTATAGAGACAAAGACAATTCCGTACATAACGATGTTACAAAGTAATATATAGGTACCAAAAATCCAAGTAATTCAATAAGGCCATCTGAAGAGTCTGGCTGCCGAAACCGTAACAACTACAATATATATTATACATGTATATACTGTCAAAACTAATATGCAACATTTATTAAAACTGAGTGAGAAAGCCTCACATAGGTGCTAATTTCCTATAACAAGCTGAACTCACACCATCACCATAATCATATCTGAATGTTATGAATAATTTGTGAAGTAAAACACCTTTTTGCAAATTATGAACTTGACAGCACCTTTAACAGCAGCATGCCTCCATATTTGTGCTACTTTTCATGAAAATTTTGATAATATATTAAAAGCTGCATGCCACCAAAATATTTCAAGAAAATCAAACTTGAGAAAAATGTACCGAGATTTTAAGAAAAAGTAAAAAAAATTTCTAGATTAAAGTTTATAATTTCCATGTTTAATTTGCAATAAATGACCGATTTGTAATATTGTGAAAAAATACTGCAAAATCAGTCCTTTATCCTATATACATGTAACATGTACATTATTACTTGAATCATAAATCTTAATTTTTACTGATCTTCTCAAAATCTAAGATCAAATTTAATCTTTTAATTTTTTTGAAATCTTTTGGCTCATCTGGAGGCAGCTTTAAAGGTTGGGTTTATTTCACACATATTACCATATCATTGAATATGGTCATAACTATATTAATCAGTTTAATTGAAGGTGCTCGATAGTGCTTTTTTCAGAACTTGAGATTATTGCAAAATAATGAGGAAAAATAAAAACTTACCTTATTAATTAGTCTTTTTCAAGTACACAAGTACCAGACAAAATGATTGACGTTAATTGCGTCAACCTGAAAATACAGAGATTTAAATCTTCATTATTTGTTATCAAGATGAATCAATAGTTTTTTTTGGTTTTTTAATACCGTAAAATTTCTATTAAAAGTCCCCCACCCCCAGGTTTTTTTTGTAAAGGAGAAAATCTACTCAAAAGAACTAAATCCAGAATTTCACTCCAACCCTTCAGAATCTATTTTATTCTACAGTACAAAAATGTATCATGCAAAATCTAAAGCTTTAAACCTTTTTAACATTATACAAAATTTGTTTAACACCAAACATATTCACAATGATTTCTGGATTTAGGAAATACTGTGGTTTTTTATTTGTTTGGGTAGTCAGACCAAACAAATAATGGTAGCGAAATTTAAGACCCTGATGCTGACAGTAGTCCGCTTTTTTGAAGCGGTTACTTCCCTTTATATGTACACTAAAGCCGAAAAATTCAGGGGAGATCACTGCGTAAAGATGGTCAAATGACAGACGCATTAATTTTCAAGCAAAATAATTCCCGAATGGTAGAAGATTTCTAATATTGTTTTATTCTTAATAGATATACATGCTTATAGTAAGCTCCATGATTATATATATCGGTTAGCGTCGTTACAAACCTTAATTTAGAATAATTTGGTTTTCTTCAGACCATTTACATATAATTCACCGTGGCCGAGGGGTTTGCGCGCTAGCTTAGGAAGCGAGAGGTCCGGAGTTCAAATCCCAGTAAGGCAACTCATTTTTTTCTTCAAATTGTTTAAGTCAAATAAACATTGGATTGAATATCAGTGTTGCAATTAGTCTTATAGCCAATTTACTACAATTAAAACGCTGGAAAGCATTGGTGGCACTATACAAAAACAAATTAGTTTATAATCTCACAACCTTCACCTTTCTGACATTCTGAGACCCAAACAAATTCAGCGCCTTCTGTGCTTTGATTACTGTATGTTTTATAATACTGAGCAGTCCTGTCTATATGATAATTATACTGAAATATTAATAATGACATTATTCAAACATCAAAGTAACCAGGATTCTTTTCAGTATAATTTACAGATCGATTCAAATTTACCTGATACACTTAAAGTATTTCCCAAATGGTTCAATTAACAGTGTTTTATAATCTGAATAAAGGATCATATTGGTGATGGAATCATGGGATACAGGCCAATTAAAGTTGTAATCACTTGTAGCCCAACCCATTTGCATTATACTTATATGTACATTTGTTTTTGTGTTATTCATATCTTATATGTATTATATAGTTTCAATAAAATATTATTAAACTAAATTAAAGTAAACTTTGACAAGTAAATGTTTTTGGGTTTTTCAGGTTTCGGTTTTACATCACACCAACACACTCACTCTGCAGACCTTCTAGCTTTACTGTTTGAGGAAGACCTCAGGTGCCCCATTGGTGATTTATTTCAGGAATGAGTGGTCACCTTAGTTGTAAAAGGTACGAAATGATAATGGTGAAAAAAAAATTATGAATAACAGCAGTGTATTATAATTATTCAAATATTTCAAAAGAACAAAATCCAACTTATTCCCCATTTCTTATAGCTACATAATGTTAAGTGTGTCTGTGTTTGATACAATTACAGTGTATAACAAATATTATAGTTATAAGTAGAATTGTCCAATAAAAAGCTCATAAACTTATTTTTAGTATGTCTAAGTAACAGCATTGATGAAATTTAACAAGATATATACACATACTTTTTCAAACGTTTTGTCATTATTTTACTCAAATAGCAACAAGTGATATTGTTACATATGAAAGATTGGATGTCACAACGGCATATAATAATGAAAGTGGAAGTGCCTCCCAACATAAGACCTTCCAGGGCAGATTATCCTAAAATTTAATATTTCAAAGTCTTCTATGACTAAGAAATTTTTTGCCCTGGTTTACCTTAATTTTCACTCATTGTAAATTTCTCAAAGATATTTGATTTAAACTTACTTAGAATACTTGTTCTGATCACTATCAAAAAAGGTTAACTTGAATGCTGATGCTGACAACCAACTAGTGGATCATGGCAATATCCCGCCTTTTTTCCCAAATTGTTGAGTTAAAAATTAGCAAGAATCCTTAGAGAAATGTGATTTTTAGAAAACCTTATAAATACTTTCATTATTTCAAGCACAAGTATCTGCATAGCACAACTGAACTTTCAAAAGCTATTATAGCTGTTTTCCTTAATTTCTCGCATAAAAAATTTCAGCAAGAATAAAATACAAAATGTACTAACCTATTTTCTAATTGTCCTAATAAAACAATGTTAAACTGCATTTAATACCATAAACAGTATTTTATTAATTACCAACCATGTTGCACAATCCTATTTTTTTTCAAATAATATGTCTGCAAAGTAGGCCATGTATACATGATTTATAAAATGACACATCTGGATATATATATATATATATATAATATATATATATATATATATATATATATATATATATATATATATATATATATATATATTTGTTATATATTTCAACTAATCCATGTTCATGAAATTCTTATGCTATTGTATGAAATATTTTCACGTAACAATTTGTGTACAGTTCAAAAGGTTAAGCCAATTTTTCTACCATTCCTTTAATAGTCTCTATCCTTGGTGATTGAAAATAATCAGATTTACCTCTACCTTAGGACAAACTGGTAAAGCCAGTTTTCCTAAAACAACTTACAGGTTTGTAAAAGCAACACACCTCAAAACAATGAAATGAATTAAATGAAATAAAATGAAATATGTCAAGTGCAAAATAAATGACTGGTCTACTTTAAGGATTAAAATGTAAATCTATTATCTTTTAATTCTAGAAAGGAAGTTGACAAAACTGTCAGTAAAACGTGTATTTTCTTTTATTTTCTTTTATATAATCTACGGTGTAACTAACGCAGTAGCCAATTTATAAATAGAAGATAATTTATTCAACATGGTCATGATGGTTGATAAAAAAAAACGCCATATCTGGTTAAGTACTGGATCCACGATTCCAATGTAAATGTGAAGGCTGGTATACATGTAGCTCTAATCAAACCAACATAATGCGTTTGCGACCAGCATGGATCCAGACCAGCCTGCGCATCCGCACAGTCTGATCAGGATCCATGCTGTTCGCTATCAGTTTCTCTACTTGTTATAGAGTAATTGTAAGCGAACAGCATGGATCCTGATCAGACTGCGCGGATGCGCAGGCTGGTCTGGATACATGCTGGTCGCAAACGCATTATGTTGGTTTTGTCGTGACGCGGCTCATATATATAAATAGGTATATATGATGTTATATGTGATGTTATCAATTAATTATAGATATTTGAAGTAATTTAAAAGCTACAGCGGTTTATTCTCCATTCTATATAATATTTATAATTATGTTTGATTGATACCATACCTGAGACCCTGTACATTCTGGATAAAAGATCCCAATTTGTCTTCTACTAGAAATAACTTAGTGTAATAAAAGAAGGTAATAATTCACAATGGCCAAGAGCCAGACTGTTTGTTTTCGGCGCAAAAATGTCAAATTATGAATTTTCGATTTCTTTTATTTGAAGAGAGGTACATACTAGATTTTCTGCTATCTCCAGGTAAGCTACTCAGGACAGAATAAGGACAAAAGCCCCCACCCCCTCTCCGACAAAAGCAGCCCATCTAAAAATGACACAGTGGACAGATGGGGGGCTTTTGTCTTGGGGGGCTTTGTCCTACACTCTCAGGTAGGACACCATTGACAGTACAAGACAATACAAGTATTGGAATACCATTCAAAACACTGTAAATTAAACCATAACATTCCATGCTAATGTGAATGTTGGGTGGGGAAATTGAGTGGCATACAGTATATCAGTGCCTAATAAATGGCAAAAATGTAATTCTAAGGGAGGCTTAATATGATTGAGGCAAGCAAAACATTTTTAGCACCATAGAGAACTGATAAGTTCATCTAACAAAAAGTGTAAATTTATGAAAAATGCAGAGGACAAGAAAAGACTACATTCTGGTATTTATGATGTTACCTTTTTATTTCTTATGTAAATTAAAATGAAACCTGGACAATATGTGACAATATGGGAAACATCTTTTCTTTAGTAAACATTGAGGCAATAATTGTTTACTTTGCAACAGATGTCTAACCTCATTTTATTAAGCAAACAAAATAATATTTTATTTAAAAAAAATAAAGTGACAGGAAACTGTCAAAAACACAGGTTTTCTGCCACTATTACATCTGTGGAAAAAAACAACAACAAAGTGCAAAAACTATGCAAAATATGATCACATTACAAAATCCTGTCAAAAATGCCCCAGGGCACTTGATAATGATCATTTTGCTAAAATTTTGTTGACATCACTAAAGAATTGTTGCACACAGTAGCAGGCCATCTGCCCGCCTACATTTTTACCTGTTATGTGTTTGTTGATACTTTTAGAAAAAGGGGCCATAATTGTGTTGAAAAATTATTGGTAAGGGGGCCATAACTTTGTAAAAAAAGATTGGTCTGATGCCAACTGGTTTTTTCAGTGAAGTTACATACATGTACCAAATATCATCAAAACGTTTTTATTCATTCTAAGGAATGAGTTGACTACAAATTAATCAAATTATCATTTCATCCCAGGGCTCATCCGGAAGGGCGATTCAGGCGAAAACTTCGCCGTGTATATTCCAATTTCGCTCTTCCGATTGATCAAAGAGAAGTCAACATCGCCGATAAAATCTTAATTCCCAAATAGTAATTACTTAGCGATGTAAAGAGCAGAGATTGTATCCGCCCATATGACGACCGCTAATTATCATTATCCAATCAGAGCGTCGCTTTATACTACCCTTCTACCTGTAAGCGAAGCGATAGACCGCCTACTCTAAACAGTAAATAATGAGAGCATCGGCCAGAAACGGTATAATTGTGTGATAGTTTTGCGAGTTTAATACGGGATTTGGCGATTATTATAAATTGTTTTTTCCCCGATTATCTAAACACGTGCAATCT